TACCAGCAAAATGAAGCTTTTATTACATCAGAGGTTAGAACTGCAGCATTGTAACTGGAGCTTTTTTATTCATTACACGTATCTGTGGTCTTTAAGAAAAAGGCTGTTGGTGGAGCAGTTCTTAACACTGCTTAATAAAACAATCTCTTTGCCAATAATAAAGATACCCACATCACGAAGGGTTCTCTGGGGTCAACCAAGAAGCGCTTTTCACATGTAAACTGCTTCTTCGCTTATTAGACTGGCGGCAAGTTGCTCTGCTACCTGTCGGGGGAAAAAGCTCCTCTCTTCATTATGCAGCAAATGTGCTCAGAGCTCAGATAAGCCTTTAGTTTTGCCACAGCTAGACAAAGGTTAGGATTTTACTACCTCTATTCAAAAGCATCTAACCTGTGGAGAATGATTCTATGAAAGACAGTGCATGGCACAGCACAATGTTGGGGCTTTTGCACTAGAATAAAAATTCTTATAAAAGCCAGTTTGCCTTGGGTTATGGACAGTTACGCATACATTCTTATTTTTCATACTTTTCAATAAACTGTTTTGGGACTGCTGTAGCTGTAACCACTTTGTCTCTGAACTCCGTATTTTTCCTGTAGTATAGTACTTTTAGGAAAGTTTATTCACCAGAGTACTCCTTTCGTAACTATCCAAATAAATAAAACGTGTAGAATTGAACTATTACATTTCATCTCGGTTTTTACACCTATGCAGGTGGGTTTCATTTCCGCATGAATTCACGCAGAGAATCTTGAATCTTAGTTTGTGAATAATTAGTATATTGTTCTGCCTTCCTTGCCATGACCTATTGATTGTGGGCGAAGCATGGGGGGGTCAGGGTTCCCACCGAAGCCTGCTGCTGATCCTGCCTGGTCCTGAGCCAGGATCAGATCAGGAGGAGGACACTGACCTGGTCCTTCAGGATGTGTTTTCACACTCTTAGCAGTTATCAGAGAAATCATTCACAATAGACTGTGCAGATCTTCACAGCAGGATCATTGCTTTCTTTTCATTTCCTGGTGAACACCGAAACAATAGCAGTGCTTAAATCTTTGCTGGGTTTTGGAGTCAACACAATTTAGAGGGGGGGAAAAAAAAAAAAAGAGGTTGCCTAGTACACTGTGGTATTTTCAAGATCCCAGGATTAATTACAGTTGGCTAACATTTTGTAGGTTATTCTGGCGCTCTCTTTAATGCTAGCGAAGCTTTCATTTAGCTTCTTTAAACAAAACTGTATGTTTGAGAGCACAAGGTGTGGTTTCTTGTGATAAATTACTGATGCCTTGCAAGTCAGCTCCTTTTCACCGCGGAGCCTTCTTTCTATTCAGTTTTGCCATGAGGAGGTGATTTCATCTCTTGCCTCTTTACCCTTCCGTAAACTGCTTGCTCTACAAGTTTAGTATTCGAACGGCACGTTGAAACCTCGCTGTACACACGCGGGGTGCTAACGTTCGCGACCGAGGCGCTGCCATGTGCGAGCGCGGCAGCGGCAGGAAGACTATCCCTTCGGAGGATCCGGTAGCTGACGCACCGCGCCGTGCCCGCCCGGTGCCACGGGCCTCTCCGCTTTCTTGTAGCGACCATTAAACTCCATCGTTAAACTGGATATTTGTTGGACTTTTTAATTAGCTATGTATGTGGGTCATGCCTGGAAAGCAGCCTAAAGCCTAGCGTGCTCTCCCCTTCCGGTAAAATGAATAAATGAAGGCAGGAATGTTTTGTTAAAATGGCTTAATCGTCAGGCTGGTGTGGCCAGACGGAATAAAGAGGGCAGCTGGAAAGTCGGCTTGTTCTCAGCCCGGCTGTATTAAACCAAGCTGCCGCTGCCGCGTGCCAGCCAGTTAAGACCATAATGTTTGTCAGAAGAGCCTCGGTTAAAACGACGCTACGCGAGTAGATTTTCTGGGTTGGGTTTGCTTTACCTCGAGACCGTTTGACCCCAGGCACTGAGCAGCGGCTGAATGTCTAATCCGAGCTGACAATTGGAAAACAAATGTCAAATGTAGTACAGTAGGGCGCTGCTTTTTTTTTTTTTTTAATGCTTTAATGAAAAGTACCCAGCCCCTGGCTGACTGTGCCTTCGCTGTGGATCAATCTCAGTCTAAACGTGAAAGATCGGTTGAGTGAGTAGCGGACGGAGCCCAGCAGACCCTGGTCGCTGTGCAGGCTCCTTTGCTGGCGCTCGTGTAAGCTCTAAGGCTGTATCTCACACCCGCGAGAAGAACCTATTGGCCCATATAATTGCCAGGTGAGTATAAATGTTTGGAGCTTTCTGCAAAATGATTGGATTTTCTCTATACCGAGCTGAATAAATAGTCTGTAAAAGCTAAAACACGATCGTCGCGATATTCGTGTCATTCCTGGACCCTGTAAGTTTGGAGTCGGCTGTGCGGCTCTGCAGGAACTGTGATAAGCTTAAACAGGATTTCTGTTTTTTAACAATTCTTGCAGCACGTTTTTATACATTATCTGTATCAAAGTATAAAAATTAAAGTGTGTTAATACTTTATTGGAGGGAATGGAAAAGTTAGCCCGTCTCCTGTGTGGTTGGTTTTGATTAGATGAAATAATGCGATAAGATGTTCGAGTTGCTAATGTTTACATTTTGATCGTAGATTCTGCAGCCAACATCAGAAAACCGAACTGGTGATCTGTGCAGTCTGTACTGCCTAGAAACATTTATTTTCTTCAGTGTGTCTTCACCACCCAAAGTGGGGTGGTGACTTCCAGCTTAAAATATGAGACAATATTCAAGGGCCAAGGCTTACATTTACTGAATGGAGAAATTTCTGTATTAAACGCTTAGGTATTTTTCAGATTATTTTTGTGCAAACTCTAGTTTAAGCCTCACTGAAACAACAGTGCGCTGTGTGTGTTCTTGCAGGTCTTTAAGACTCTGAGCAAGTTGCTACTGTTTTTATACAGTGCAGAGAGATTATTAACATTTGAACTTCAGCTTCTAACTGTAGGGGTTTGTTTTTCTCAGATGTAGATGACTTAAAATGTGCCCCATTTGGAAGCTGTAACAGTGGGTCTGCAGTCAGCAGCCTGGCAAGCTATGACTGGTCTGACAAAGAAGACATTCATCAGGGCAAGAAGCTCTCCTCCTTTGTCCAGTCTGCAGGAAGTGGATCCTCCGCGGCTACTTCTGTTCTTCAGAAGAAGGAGACCTTGTTTGGCAGTTCAGAAAACATTACCATGACAACAGTTTCCAAAGTGACAACCTTTTCCAGTGAGGATGCTTTACAGGATGTTTCCTTTGCAGCCTTTGCAAACTTTAAAGACTCTGGACCAATATCCAGCGGTCCAAGTGACGATGACATCGGAGACTTTGGTGATTTTGCAAGACCTTCATCAGAAGCGCAGGACGCAGCAGCAGCTGATGCAAACGAGGAGGCAGATTTCCTTGCTAGTGGTATCTCTTCTGAACTGCGAAGAGAGTCCACAGATGACTTTGGAGAATTCCAAAGTGAAAAGCCAAAAATCAGCAAGTTTGACTTCTTGGTGGCAACTTCCCAAGGCAAGGTGAAATCTAGTGAAGAAATGATCAAGAGTGAACTGGCTACTTTTGACCTGTCTGTTCAAGGTAAGACCGCTGAGGGTGGAGGAAGCCCATAATGCGTGTGCTTATCAAAGGCTAATTTTTCTAACCAAGTTATAAATTAGCCAATTGGGATTGTTCCAAAGGCTACTGGAAACAAGCTGAATCTTCTCATTGATTTCTATGGCATTTGGAGCAGGTCTCTTTCTAGAAGAAAAGAATTTTTGTGCCAAAAAATTGTAAGAGTTGTGGAACTGGGCAAATTTGCACCAGTCACTGAGTAAACAGAAGGCTTTGTTCTTCTGGAGTAGCGGTGCATCCCTTGCTTCCACTTTATTCATTTGAAATAGTCCATGCCTTTCTGAGTAAAAGACTACCTTCTTTATATCCTAACTTTTTAGGGTCTCATAAAAGGAGCTTAAGCCTAGGTGACCGAGAAATAAGTCGCTCTTCAGCTTTACCAGTTTTGGAACAGCCATTTAGAGATCGTTCAAATACTCTAAGCGAGAAGCCTGCTTTGCCTGTCATCAGAGACAAATACAAAGACTTGACTGGGGAAGTTGAGGTAAGGAATTACCTGTAATACAAGTAAATTGGCAATGACTTTCATCAGTGCGCTATCAAGGGTGTTCTGTATCCCAACTCGTTGGGGCTATTGAGCTATTTGAATTTAGGACATGATTCTAAGACGGCATCTGGGTAAGGTTAGATGTTTTGACTGGAAACTGCTCATAGAAGAGGTTTCTTCTTTCCTGTCTTTAAAATCTTACAAAGTGGGGAAAAAAATGCCGTTGTCTGAAAGTCAGAACCACTTGACCTTGCAGTCTAAGCTTGTAACTGGAAATTAATTACGACTTAAATCTCATCCCAGCTCTGGCACTGAGACCATTGGCTTTGGGAAACGGCTTAACTTTTTTGGCTGTGTCATTTCTCTTGGTCATCTTGAGAATAGATGGTATAAGGATTCAGGTTAAATTCTGCTAATCCCCATTTCTACAACAGCAGACCTGTAACAAGTGTGTTGGGAGTAGGTATGTGCAATGCAAACTTTTTACCCATTCATATATGTCCTTCCTTTTGAGACTAATTCCAACTCCCAGAAATCAAATTTTAGAGCTCAGGAGCAAAGAGAATACTTAAAGAATAGGGGGGAAATTAGGAATAGGTATGTTAAAAGTTTACATAGCTAATCTGCAAATAGTCTGTTAAGATACCTGTCTACTGTACCTCTGTTGTGATAGGAGAAAGGGAAACGTGTGTGGGAACAAGATTCAGACTGTCCTTTTCTTTCAAATAGGAAAGTGAGAGGTATGCATATGAATGGCAAAGGTGCTTGGAGAGTGCCCTGCAAGTAAGTGTACAGTCTCCTCCAAAACCTCTTCCTCCTTCCCGTAGGTACCACCTCATTCAGTGCTGAAGACCGTGCAGGCATAGAAAGGGTGGGAATCAGCCCAATTTTTAAACCAAAAGCTGTCACGCAGCAGAATGGTTCCCTCCTCAGTTAGAGATCCTATACTAATCTCCCCGTCACTTGCGATTAGCTCGGGTTTTGCCTACATTTTCAAGTTAATGAGTTAATTTGGTGTGCGTGTGTTTGGGTGCCCAGTAAGGCATGGTGTTGGGGGCTTGACACCAGCACCTGGCTCTTCAGTGCTTTTTGAGAGATGGGCTTGTTGAACGTGCTGTGCGGAGGGGCCGTGAATTTCCTGAGAATGGGTGTCAGATATTTCACAGCCAGATTACTTTTCCTTAAAATTTCTTCTTTGCATTTGAGTGTTAGACAGTCAAAACCGTGAATGCGATTATTAAAGTAGATAGCAGTGAACACTTACTCTTAAAACTAGTATTTTGGTAATGAAAATATTTGGGGGAATATGTTAAGATTTTAAATGTTCATACTTCTCCCCTGATCTGCTTATAGTTACAGCACGAATGTATAAAAACATGTGATGGAGTATGGCAATTATTTCTTATTTGCTTTGCCTCCTTTTTGGTGTAACAGTTTCTGTCGGGGACAATCTTGTTCATAGTAATTATTGTAAGGTCGATAACACCACCATTTTATGAAATTCATTTCCGCCAGGTTATAAAGAAAGCAAATGATACCTTAAATGGGATAAGTAGTTCATCCGTCTGCACTGAAGTCATCCAGTCTGCTCAAGGCATGGAATATTTACTAGGTATGTTTTAATGTACCATGTCTCTTACACTGCAAGTTCTCCTCTGTAAAGCAGTAATATATAACCACTTTTTCCAAAATGGCATTATTTTTAGCTTAGTCTTTGCCCGCACCAAAATAATGAACAACTCTTCTGCTAAATGAATGTAACTGCTGCCTTGAAATAACCGTCCGGGACCACCTTTTGTGACCATGCCTGTTTTGTGCTATTTCTGAGTTCAAGTTTCAGGAACCTGTGCTTGCAGCGAATTCTCTGCAATCCTCCACTGTGTTTTCTATCAACAGGGGTTGTTGAGGTCTACAGAGTGACAAAGAGAGTTGAACTGGGTATCAAAGCAACGGCTGTGTGTAGTGAGAAACTCCAGCAGCTGCTGAAGGATATTGATAAAGTGTGGAACAACCTAATAAGCTTCATGTCCCTTGCTGCTTTAGCGGTAAGACCAAAAATAAGCTATGTCTCTACTAAAAAAAAAAGTCGTAAGTATATGTAAAGTGTCTTCATGGGGTGGCTTAACTTTACAGTTTGTACTTTTCTCTTTCAAAATGGAAATAGACTCATTTGTGATACCCAGTTTAAAGCTTCCTGTAAGAAAACTATTATTTGTATGCAAACATGATGCTATCTTACTTAGTGTCTTCATGATTTAGATGATATCCTACGTGTCTGTGGACCTCTCCAGTAAGGGAAATTTAGTGAAATTTAAATAAGCCATTTTCTGAAGCCAGAATAGTGCAGCCATACCTTGTCTTTGTAATATCCCTGCAATTAGTTCTAATGCTCACAGTGCAGGAGCACGCAACGTAGCAACACGAGAATACCTAAACTGTTTTCTTTTCTCTCTGCATTTGGAAATGCCGAAGTTTGTTTTGGTTCCTGCTACAGACTAATTAGCTTTTCCTTCTCTGAATAGAACTGCCAGAAAAAGCTCGATTGCTCCAAGACAGTCCGGTGGGAGCTTGGGAGCTTTCTACGTAACTGGGCCAGCGTTACAAGGAGGGATGGTGGGGGGCTGTCTGAGGGGTGGTCTTCAAGAGAAGGAGCACCTCACGGGAAGGGTCTGCAAAGGATCTGGGGAAGGAGAGGGGTACGCTGGGACCAGGTACAGAATACACACAATTAGAAGGCAAAAAAAATCACCTTGCCATTAAATGTCTTGCATTTCTTTGTGTGTGTACGTTGCAGAAAATACAATGTGCAAAACTACTTTCTTTAAGGACGGTAAAACTCGTATTTTTAGGGAATCATCCATCTGTAGGTGCTTGATATCGTCTTGCACAATGGATCCCTTTAACTCAGTATATCCCTAAGGAGTCTTTAACTCTTAGTTAGTATCGGTACATCACATCAAGCATCGATAAGTAGATCATTACGGTGGTTACGTTTCCACCGAACATTTTAATTTGTGGCTTCCTTCTTGCAATGCAACTACGGCCACTGCAGATTTTTTGCTCCCTGATAAACACTTGTTTATAAGGAAGGCCCGGAGTACTTGGTTTCTGCTTGAAATAGCCATCTTCAGCTCACTGTCATTCCCTGGTATTATAAACAGGTATTATAAACGATGACTCCCTTTTCACACACCTTTTACACATTTTAAACCTCTCCAGTACAAACAGCGGTGGCAGGCAGGTATTTCTGGTGATGTCCTGTTTGCACAAAGCCTGTCATAATATGAAATTTATACTTCCAATATTTTACTGCTTGGCAGATGAAGTTGATAGACTGGTATTTATCTGTTTGAACTTTGGCATTGTTGATAGTAACAATCTAAAAAGCTATCAGAATCCTCTCCTGATTTAAACAAGTGGATTAAAATTTAGTTCTTAAAGTGCTTTTCCTTGGAAGATTACAGGGATTACCTTAAAGGCCAAAGTTTGGCCACATGTTCTCCGAGCTGCAGCGGTCCAGATAAATTTTAAACGTACTAGGAGCTGCAAATAGTGACGACTTATGCACACAGAGCAACCTCTGAAGTTACCTAAGAGACAGGGACTCCCGTAGCTCTCAAAGTCATCCCTTGCTGTTTCTCCTCTCACCTGGGTCACCTTCTTCCCCCAGTGCTGCACTCCGGGATCCCAAATGATGCAGAAGTGCCCGTTAAGTAGAGAGAAGTATTCTAGCTCAGAGGCATGTGCTTGGAAAGGTTAATTTTATCTTTTAGAGGATTTTGTTGCAAGGTAATTTTATGCGCAGCCTTGTGGTTTTTCACTGCAAATTACAGGATGACCTTCTCATTTGCTTCACTCATGCGTTTGGTAAACAAATATGAGAGTGCCTTTATTAATTTGATTGATCTACTTAAAGATTAAAGGGATTTTTTTTTTCAGGATTACAATTATTCTCCAGCCATTCAGCGGGGGAGTGTGATCAGCATACCTAGAGCGTGGATTAAGAGTACATGTGTTCCATGGTCCCACCACTTATTTTAAGCTTCTTGCATTTCTAGTCATTGTTTTTATTTGCACTATCTTCAAGCAAAAACTTCTACGGTTTTATACCAGCCTTACGCAAAGTTTTAACTTACCATTTATCTTGTGGATGAAATGCAAGCTCGTGTACCGGAAAAGCGAGTATATTAATTTATTACTTATTTGCAGGCTTATTCTTCCATCCTTCGCCTCCCTTTAACCTGAGCTGGCGTATGGCTGCCGACCTTGATTCTCCTATGGTTTGCTTAACCTTAACATCCCATTTTGTACCGCTGTGCCATATTCTAGATTCGGAAAAAAAACCTTCAGAAAGAATAACAACTGCCCTTTTTTGACCAGGCAATAACAGGGAATTCGGGACAACAAACACCGATACAGACACCACTTCAAATACTGACCGGCGAAAGCTGTGCTGGCCGACGGCTCGCTTCCTTGCAGCTGCACAAATAGTCGTCGCATACCACTGTCTGCGTCCAGCTCCTGACACGCCGCCGTTGAAATGTCGCAGCCGCTGCCTGGGCTCTTTCCTCAGAAGTTTCTTCCCCTTTTGATGTGGGAACGTGGAACTCAACAATTCTTTCCTTTGTAGTCTAACCCTTTTTCAAGAGCTTGAGCGTTATAAATTAATGCTGATGGAGATTGCGTAGCAGGATTGCAAATACCTACTAATGGCTTTGGTTAAATCACACATCAGTCTGTGAGAAAATGTGGTACGTCATCCCTGCCACGTTGCTGGTGTGATATCGTGGTGCTCGGTAGCAACCGGACCGATAATTTTTATCATGATGTCTGAAACTTTTTTGGTCGCTGAAAATGCCTACGTTTTATTGTCTCTTTTCTTCAGCCAGATGAAAACTCGCTGGATTTCTCTTCCTGTATGCTGCGTCCAGGGATTAAAAATGCCCAAGATCTTGCCTGCGGAGTGTGCCTCCTAAATGTGGATTCAAGAAGTAAAGTAAGTATAATGGCCTCTACTTTTAAACTCATCTTTAATTTACAGTTTGGACTTTCACTTAGGCCTTGGGTGTATTTAAAAAAAATTAATGGCTATAATTTGTAACTGCAAGTGGCGAAGGCAAAATCTGCCCTATGGATGGGACTCGGATAGTCAGTGTCCTGTACTCATTGGGCTTTGGGTATGAGACAGATGCGGATAAAGGCTTGAGTTAAATTGTTCGTAATGGGGAAGAAATCGGGATACTGAGACTTAAAAGGTATATGTATTTTTAAAAAAAATAAAAAGTTTTTTATAACTTTTCTTTATGAGATGCATCTCTGAGGATCACCAGGAGGGGACTATTGCAATTAGCAGAGCTGGGAGGGAATCCCAGGATATGTACAGAGTAATGCCAACCAATTAACGTATCTCGGCAGTTTTGCTGACTTTTTGGTTTCAACGTTATTTCAGAAAGAAGAGAAACCTGTGGAAGAGCTTCCTAGAAAAGTATGAATCTGTAAAAAACATACTCTTTATAGAATCATTCTTAGTTGAGTGTGGAAGGCTGAACTGCTGACTGGCTTTCAGCTGTCATTCTCGGTTGTACCAATCATGAATCCTTTTCTTCTAGTCATTTTTTGTGACTGTAACACTTACTCTGATCGACTAACATACTCTAGAGCCTCCCCTTTGTCTTGTCTGCATGCTCGTACCTTGTGAATAGCTTTCTGGTTTTGTGCTCCTTCTGTTGTGTGGTAGGAAAGTCACTGCAGTGAGTTTCTGAATTTGTAGCTGCCTGTGTGTCTGGTGCAGAAGAGGGGGAACTGTAGGGTGGGTTTTGCTACAAATACTGACTTTTGGCTATACGTAGCAGGCAATGGCATTTTTAGAAATCTCTGCAGGAAACCCAGGGTGGTGGGGAGCAGGGTTAGAATATTTTTTTAAATAGGTAGCCGTGAAGCATTGATAGTATCTCCTAGCAACAAACACCGAGATGTTCTAAGCTTGTTCACGGCTTCACACGCTCTGTTCAGAAGCTCCTATTGTAAAGCAGATTCAATTAACAGAAGAAAGTAGATCAAATTCAACCTGAAATAACACTAATACCGAGAATTGCACCTGCCGAAATCACAGCAAAAGTCGCCCCAGTGAAATAAATGCAGTAGCTATCTACTGGCTGGCAGAACAAGCGTTTGTCGTGCACGGGTACGTGGCAGAAGATGCAGGAAACAAGGTGAGGCAGATGCCAGGCGTCCGATCGGGGAGCGTGCTGCTCGGGTGCCTCCCTTCAGACAGCGGCGACAGCCAGCGCGCGCATGGCTGGAGTTCTCGTCCCCCCGCAAACACTTTGCAGGCTAAAATACTGCTTGCGGGGTGCTCTGTTCAGAGCGCGAGGGTCCTTCCATGCTGGGGGTCCTTCCGTGCCATTCCGGGGTAATACCTGTGCAAGATCCCTCTCCCGCTCTAGTTTCTGGCTCCTGGAGTAGAGGAGCCTGTCACACTTCTTTCAATTCTTGTTATTTTAGGCCTTTAATTCAGAAACGGATAACTTTAAGCTGGCGTATGGAGGGCACCAATACCACGCGAGCTGTGCAAACTTCTGGATCAACTGTGTGGAGCCCAAGCCCCCGGGTCTCATTCTGCCAGACCTGCTCTGAAAGCAGTTGCGCTGAAGATGGAAGCGTCGGGTCTAATAATTCAGGACACTTGGGGTAAACTGTGTGATAGGGTAAGTGGAAAGGCTTGAGGTGTGGTTGGTGTTTGAAACGTTTTGTTTTGACTTTTGTACCGTAACGGGTTAAAGCCGCTGTCACGTACAAATTGCTCATGAAGAATTTCACTCGAAACGGCTGGGGTTTCAGAAATAACCGGAAAAAATCGTAGCGTGGCAAAAAAATGCAGCATTTCGGTCTTTCTCAGGATGAAAGCGGGCTGGTCTTTGTAACAAACCAGCCTGCTAACCAAGTGCATAAATCTCGGAGAGAGGACGGTACCTAGCTTCCAAGAAAAACTGAAATGCTAGACTGATTTGCATAGAAGTGACCACTTAAATACTTGAAGCACGTATTTGCAAACAAATCTTTACTTTTGTGGGTTTGGTATACGGACCGTGATATTTTTCTTTAAATATTTGCTGCTACATTATTACAATGCATACAATGCACGAGTCACAGCGACTTTCAAGACAAAATGCATTGTTGACTTAGAAGGAATGAGACTGCAGAGAGCCATCGTGTATTCATACTTCCACTGTTCTGTATTGTAAATTATACTGTATTCCTATGCATAGCTGGGGGATAAGGACTTGGAAAAATTGTTGAAATTTTCCCTATCCTATCTGGATTCTTTAGGACAGACAGCTGGATTGTAAAACTTGTAGTCTTTGCTACTCGGTTGTAAATATAGACAAAACTCCTTCCTTGGACTTGTCCTGAACTACAGGTATGATGTGTTATGTTTCACCTCACCCTTTGGTAGTTGTGTGGCTGCAACACTGTTGAAAATTGGACTCCACTGATACAGCATGTCCGCTCCTGTACATATATTACCTTTTTTGTATGTTAATACGCTTTTCTTGATGGGATGCCTGCGTATAACTTGTGCAGTCTAGTGCTATCGGTAATAACGTGTTTCTCTGACTCCGAACTGGCAGCTCAAGGTGGCCCTTAGCTCCTGCTACAGGAGGGTGTGATTTAACACTGAAACTTGCTTTTCTCAAGCAGGCTGTGTTTTGAAGCAGGGTATTGCCCACCCACCGTTTTGTTGCTTATGGTAGGTACAGCTACCTCGACAGAAGGAGGTTAGTAGAATAAACCATCACAAAACGTTACCCGTACACCTAAAATTGTATAGCCACACCTGATTCTCTCTTCAGATACAGCGTCCAGATGACAGTGCAATTGGTTTTAGTGCTAGTCACAGAATTTTAAACCTAGTGAGAGCTTCATGGCGTTATTTGAACAGCCTTACCACTGTACAGTCTTACTCAGCCTGCAGTGAATGGAGTGGGGTGCATATCCATCAGGTACAACTTGCTTCTTAATTCTTTGACTTAAGTTTCTCAGATCTCTAGAAAATCTCCCTCTGCTCCAAAGATATCAACAGTTTTTCCAAGTTAATCTTGCCTCCATTATAAGTGGCTGACACTGACCAGTGGTTATTTGCTGAAATAGAAATTATAATGAGGAAAAATGATGCTTTGTATTAAAAAAAAAAAAGCCTTAGTTATACTAAACTATTAATTATACCAAATGAAAGAATCTTTGCTAATAGGAGTGCTAGGTGTCTGGCCCCTTATTTACACAAATTAAAATAACTCTTCCTGCTGCCTGAAATTAGCTCATTCATAAAATAAGCAACTTGTGCCTCCAGTCGCAAGCTCAGGCTAATCAAGGGGCGGATTTTCAATAGCGTGACAGTGACTGCCTGCTTTCTGTTGCCCAGTAATTATCAAAAGAAGGGCAGTCACTCATTGCTTGCTCTCTGTTTCATTTATTAGGTGTGAAATACTTACAGCAGTCAGCACCGTAGCTTTTGACCACATACATTGTTTTCCATCGTAATTAGGGGCTGCTGTGTACCTCACCAGTGCAAGTATTCCCGTTGACGTGTGGGGTCTACTCAGCACATAAGCCAGCGCTGGCGTTTGCATACTGAATTACAGAAGCACTTAAGCATCGTCTGGCCTCAAGCAAACGCCTCGTCTTGCTGCTAGCAAGGGGACTTCTCAAGTGGTTTTGAGTATCTGGCTGACGCAAAGGCTGTTGCTTATGAAATGCTATATTGGGAAAAGAGAGTTTATTGTTAGCGTGGGTTTCCACCGCGGTTCCTGAACACTTAGCTAGATAGGATTTTTTTTTCTAATTAAAAGACAATGCCCCAAACAAAAGAGGCCATGATGTGAAACTTAAAGCAACCAGTATTTCAAATACAATACCAGCTATATTGTCATAAAAGCAGTTTTCGGTGATGTTTTTTTGTACTTATTAATGTACTTGTGAAGCAAGCAAGTTCCCTCTCGAAGATGTATCCAAGTGTGGCTTTTGGCCCATAAAAATAAGGACTCGACATTTACAATTATAATTGCAGCAGAGCTTACTGAAGTATGACGCTTCTGCTTGCTTGCTCCCTACAGAAGGGAAAGCAGCAGGCAGCGTGGCTGTGTTCGTGGCAAGCAGAAAGCGTTCTTCTGGAATGAACACCTTGACGTCATGGGAATATACCAAATGTTTTGCGTGTAGATACCCCTGGTACAGGCGTTGCACAACGAGGACCATCTCACTCACACGTCCTAGTCAGTAAAATGACTCACTGTTGCGTTCAGCATCTCCTCAGATATTACGCTGCCAGCCAAAGCCCAGTGTCCTTGCAATCTGTATCCAAGGTTACAGTATTTTCTACAGTGCGTTGTAACAGACCGCGTTCCCCTGCTTCCTTCGCGTACAGGCTAACGGACACGCTGCCTCTCGCTTCGGTCGCGTTGAATTTCATAAATGTAACTCCCTTTTCTGCCTGTATCTTTTGCTAGAAAAAAGTAAGAAACGTAATTTCCTTGTTTAATTTAATGATCGTGTTCTCTGGAGCTGCCTTGGCATTACCTATGAAAAGTGATTTTTCTATGTGTTTGTGTATATTTGGAATTTGAAGAGATTACCCGCTTGGTTATTTAATGAGTATCTCACTTTGCCCAGTTGTATTCCTGCT